ATATAGTAGAAACCACGAGAGCTGGCAGTGACAGATCGCTTAAAAATGGTATGAATCAAGATATGGACGTACGACTTAGATTATTTCACCACATACATTTAAATGTAGGTTATGTTAGTAATGGAGGTTATATGTCAAACATTGTCAAAGATATTATTTAATGATTTTCCTTTCAAAGAAAACATTTTCGGCTTGTGAAAACACTAACAGATTCATGACAACGCTCACAAGACGTTTCGATTTGAGGTTATAATTATAGAGTGACATCCCTTAGAAGAACAGACGTACTTTTTCGACGTGGCCATTTGAATTGTACAGCAGACATATTAAACTAATGCTATCTCTTTCCAACACACATTACTCTCTAGCGGTTTGTGAACTACGTATGGCATTTGTAAGAGCGGAAAATGATGATTTACTGCCAGCTCTCGTGGCGTCTACTATAACACAACTTTTTTCTAACTTGAAATTTTAATTTCCCACTGAACAGTATGCTACAAAAATTAATATTTTTGAGGTTATATCTTTATTGTTTATTTAATCAAAAAATGTTGTTAACAAAATTTGTTTAGAATTACTTCAGGAACAGTGTTTGTTAACACAATTTTTTCTAACTTGAAACTTTAATTTCCCTCTGAATAGTATGCTATCAAAATTAATTATCTCAACAATTATTGTTTTTATTAAAAAATGTTTTAAATAAAATTTGTTTCAATTTCGATTTTGAATCAATTATCTTAATAAAAAATTTTTACATCTCTATTAATTAAGCATCTAAGTATAATTATGTATAAAAACGGAAAAATTATTATTTTGAGGTTATCTCCTTAATTATTGATTAAATCAAAAAAAAATGTTGACAAAGTTTGTTTAGAATTGTTTCAGGAACAATTTTTGTTAACACAATTTTTTTCTAACTTGAAATTTTAATTTCCCACTGAACAGTATGGTTTTCTTTTAATCAAGATTTTCTGAGAACGAGTGGAGGGGGGAAATCGTATCGTTTTGTTCCAAAAGTTCCGTGCCCTGGTCATGAGTCTAGTTGCTATATATTATATGTTCAAATATTTTCGAGATTGCTGGCAGTATGGAAATAGGACATAATTGCTTATTACATGTACGTTTCATTTTTTATGTACTGGTATTATTTTTGCAACCTTTAATTTTTTAAAGCTTGCATTAGCAGGTTTGTTGAGAGGCCATATATATCTTTTACTTTTTTGTCCTTCATGTTTCTTATTGTTTTTCTAACTTCCTCTTCGCTTATTGGTTGGAAGTAGAACGATTTACATATATTCATATTTTTCAGAAGAGAAATTGTATTGTCTGGTGTATAAATACCTGCCTTAACGAAGTGTTCATTAATTTCTTCAGGATCAAGTGATACGGTTAATCCATTGTTTGTTTTATGTTTTTTTTCTTTATTTATCAGATGCCATATTGCCTTTTTTGAATGTTTTGTTAGCATGTGTATCATCTCTATGACTCTTCATTTCGGTTAACTATCGATACTTTAATTAATAATCGAAAGTGATAACAGCGACAGCTATAAGCATGAGATACTAAGAATAGGTTATTAATATCGAAATATTTTGATATCTCCATTAGTTGTTGAGAAAAAAATTGTCAACATTGATTTGGGTTGACACTTTTTTGCAATGATTTTTTTCAAAAATTTATTTCTATGTTATTAATAAAAGTGAAGAACCTAAATAAGGAGGGTTTATTTAGAATTTATTGGTGAATCAAATGCACCAAACGGTTTTTTGATATCTCGATTAGTTGCTGAGGAAAAGATGGTCAAAGTTAACCTAAAAAATGTATGATTTGGGTTGACACCTTTTTGCAATGATTATGCAATGAGATATAATATAAATTATATTGCCAAAAATGAATTAAAAAATATTTTATAATCAAAATCATTGTTTCAGAACTGTATGTATATTTGGGTGCGTGACCATCGTCTTCACCATAAATATAGTGACACCGATGCTGATCCCCACAATGCAAATCGTGGTTTCTTTTTCTCCCACATGGGTTGGTTGATGAGCCGCAAACATCCCGCCGTTATAGAGAAAGGAAAAACCATCGACATGTCTGATTTGGAAGCCGATTTCCTCGTCATGTTCCAGAAATTGTAAGCGTACCTTCTAAACCACCACTTACACATCACAATTAACCGTGTTATTAACCATGAACTCGTCGGAATTTCATTTTTCGTTCTTATTTATGAGAAAGTCATTTTTATTTTCTTACAAGTCAATCACGAGCGATGCAATTTCTCCTAATTCATCGAACGGATGAATAAAGGAGAGAGGGGAAAGTTTTTCACCATAAAAAATTAATCAATGCATAATTACTAATTATTAATTCTTTTTTAGCTTTTATAAACCTATGTATGTTTTATTCGCTTTGGCGATTCCAATAGCAGTTCCAGTTTATCTTTGGAATGAAAATTATTACGATGCTCTTTTTGTGGTTTATTTCGCTAGATATATTTTAACTTTAAATATAACTTGGTTGGTAAATAGCGCCGCTCATTTATACGGAACAAAACCATACGATAAGTAAGTTTTTTTTTAAATCAGTTCTTGTTATTTTAATTTTTAACTTTTTAGAAATTTTGGTGCTGTTGAAAGTTGGTTTGTATCTTTTGCAACTGTCGGTGAAGGTTGGCATAATTACCATCACGCTTTTCCGTGGGATTATCGCGCTGGGGAATATGGAACCCACTACAGTTTGACTACTTTTATAATTGATCTTTTAGAAAAATTCGGATTTGTTTACGATTTAAAAACGACTCCTGGAAATATGATCGAACAAAGAGTTTATAGAACGGGAGATCCTAGTTGTAAAGAAAAAGTACAAGATGGGAAAATTATCGATATTAATGGAAATGAAATTGATCCAAAATTACAATTAAAATTAAAGGGTTGATGTGGAAAAAATTCTTTTGTNATTTAGAATTTATTGGTGAATCAAATGCACCAAACGGTTTTTTGATATCTCGATTAGTTGCTGAGGAAAAGATGGTCAAAGTTAACCTAAAAAATGTATGATTTGGGTTGACACCTTTTTGCAATGATTATGCAATGAGATATAATATAAATTATATTGCCAAAAATGAATTAAAAAATATTTTATAATCAAAATCATTGTTTCAGAACTGTATGTATATTTGGGTGCGTGACCATCGTCTTCACCATAAATATAGTGACACCGATGCTGATCCCCACAATGCAAATCGTGGTTTCTTTTTCTCCCACATGGGTTGGTTGATGAGCCGCAAACATCCCGCCGTTATAGAGAAAGGAAAAACCATCGACATGTCTGATTTGGAAGCCGATTTCCTCGTCATGTTCCAGAAATTGTAAGCGTACCTTCTAAACCACCACTTACACATCACAATTAACCGTGTTATTAACCATGAACTCGTCGGAATTTCATTTTTCGTTCTTATTTATGAGAAAGTCATTTTTATTTTCTTACAAGTCAATCACGAGCGATGCAATTTCTCCTAATTCATCGAACGGATGAATAAAGGAGAGAGGGGAAAGTTTTTCACCATAAAAAATTAATCAATGCATAATTACTAATTATTAATTCTTTTTTAGCTTTTATAAACCTATGTATGTTTTATTCGCTTTGGCGATTCCAATAGCAGTTCCAGTTTATCTTTGGAATGAAAATTATTACGATGCTCTTTTTGTGGTTTATTTCGCTAGATATATTTTAACTTTAAATATAACTTGGTTGGTAAATAGCGCCGCTCATTTATACGGAACAAAACCATACGATAAGTAAGTTTTTTTTTAAATCAGTTCTTGTTATTTTAATTTTTAACTTTTTAGAAATTTTGGTGCTGTTGAAAGTTGGTTTGTATCTTTTGCAACTGTCGGTGAAGGTTGGCATAATTACCATCACGCTTTTCCGTGGGATTATCGCGCTGGGGAATATGGAACCCACTACAGTTTGACTACTTTTATAATTGATCTTTTAGAAAAATTCGGATTTGTTTACGATTTAAAAACGACTCCTGGAAATATGATCGAACAAAGAGTTTATAGAACGGGAGATCCTAGTTGTAAAGAAAAAGTACAAGATGGGAAAATTATCGATATTAATGGAAATGAAATTGATCCAAAATTACAATTAAAATTAAAGGGTTGATGTGGAAAAAATTCTTTTGTTGGTTTTTTGTTTGTGGTGGTTTCAAAAACTCATCAGATCGTAGTGAAGTTAAATTTGCTAGTGATTAGTTTATTTTAGATGTAATTTTTGTAAATGTTGGTTACCTTAGTAGAATTTTTTATTATAAATTGTAAATTTTATGGTTGTTAATAAAGTAAATAAATTTTAAGTTAAAATTAATATTGTTTATCTAAAAATTTTTTCATGTAAAACATTTGTGTTGTATATATTATCTGAAAGAGGAAGATTTTAGCTTTAATTCGATGCCCTTTTCAACCTAATCAAATTTAAAATGAAATAAGAACGTTAATTTAAACGAGATCAAATTACCTGCAGACATAGGCACGGATTGGGAATTTAAAAGACCTTAGGTTTGGAAGAAATTGGGCTTTTATGGTATTTACAGAGCTATTTATTATGCTAAATCGATAACATCAATTTGGGGTAAGTTTTGTTTGTTAATAATTAATCAATACTTCATAAAATTAATTAGTTTAGAATAACTTTTTACATTCATTAAAGCTCTTAACCTAGTTTCACACGTATAAAATAAGTAAACTAATATCAAATAGTAACTGTAATAGCAGCAACCAGTTGTTACTAAGATAAAAAAGTAACATGTTTACATATTAAGCCATTAAAATTTACGAAGCATAATTTTTAAAATTCCAAACTCAAATTTATTATGAGTTAAAAAGATTTTAAATTTTATTTTTGTATTTTTGAGGTGATTAAATTGGTAGCATTGATTGTTAAAATGAAACCACTTGCTAGATTTGTTAGTAGGATCAAAAAGAAACATTCTTTATATAAAAAAGCTTTCTTAAATCTTTTCTATTTGGAGTGACAATTACTTTTTATGTAAAAATATAGAAAATTCCATTATTTTATCATTTTGAGGCGGTTAAGTTGGTAGTATTGATTGTTCGAATAAAACCCTATATTAGATTTGTTAGTTGAATCAATAAGGAACATTTTTTGCACAAAAAACTTCTTGTGTGTCGTTTTATTTGGAAGCTACAATAATTTTATTGGCAAAAGTATGAAAATTTAACTTTTTTGTAACTTTGAGGCGATTAAGTTGGTAATATTGATTCTTGGAACAAACCCCTATATTAGTATTATTAGCTAAATCAATGATTACTTTTTTATATAAAAAGTTTTTTCTACATCTTTTTATTTCGAAGTTACATTTAATTTGTGTGTAAAAATACATAAATTTCACATTCTTTGATATTTTGTGGTGATTAAGTTGGTGATATCGATTTTGGAATGATACCTTTTTATTAAATTTGTTATTTGGATCAATAAGGAACATTATTTCTATAAAATTATTATTGTGTATTATTTTATTTAGGAGTTACAACAATTTTATTCATGAAAATCAGAAAATTTTGTACTTTCGTAATTTTGAGGCGGTTAAGTTGGTAGCATTAATTGTTGGAATAAAACCCTATATTAGATTTGTTAGTTGGATCAATAACGAATATTTTTTGCTTAAAGAAATACTTGTGTACCCTTTTATTTAGAAGTTACAATAATTTTATTGGTAAAAATATGAAAATTTATCTTTTTTGTAATTTTGAGGAGTTCAAGTTGGTAATAGTGATTCTTGGAACAAATCCCTAGTTAGTATTATTAGTGAAATCAATAAGGAATACTTTTTTATATAAAAAGATTTTCTTCATCTTTTTATTCGGAAGTTACATTTAATTTGTATGTAAAAATACATAAATTTCACATTCTTTAATATTTTGTGGTATTTAAGTTGGTAACATCGATTATGGAAATATACCTTTTTATTAAATTTGTTATTTGGATCAATAAGGAAAATTTTCTTTATAAAAGTACTTTTGTGTATTGGTTTATTTAGGAGTTACAAAAATTTTATTTATAAAAATCTGAAAAGTTAATATTTTCGTAATTTTGAAGCGATTAAGTTGATAGTATTGATTGTTGGAATGAAACCCTATATTAGATTTGTTAGTTGAATCAATAAGGAACATTTTTTGCACAAAAAAATTCTTGTGTGTCCTTTTATTTGGAAGTTACAATAATTTTATTGGAAAAAGTATGAAAATTTTACTTTTTTCTAATTTTTAGGCGATATAGTTGGTAACATTGATTCTTGGAACAAATCCCTGTGTTAGTATGAGTAGTTAAATCAATAAGGAATATTTTTTTATATAAAGATTATTTTCTACATTTTTCTATTTTTAAATTACAAATAATATTTATGTAGAAATACGTAAATTTCCCATTTTTTGATATTTTGGGGTGATTAAGTTATTACCATCAATTTTGGAAAGATACCTTTTCACTAAATTTGTTATTTGGATTAATAAGGAACAATTTTTATATAAAAGTATTTTTGTGTGAAGTTACAATTAATTTTATATAAAAATACGTAAATTTCACATTTTTTGATATTTTGTGGTGAAAAGTTGGTAACATCGATTTTGTAAAGATACCTTTTTATTAAATTTGTTATTTGGATCAATAAGCAACATATCTAATATAACAATATTGTAAGTATCGTTTTATTTAGGAGTTACAATNTTTTGATATCTCGATTAGTTGCTGAGGAAAAGATGGTCAAAGTTAACCTAAAAAATGTATGATTTGGGTTGACACCTTTTTGCAATGATTATGCAATGAGATATAATATAAATTATATTGCCAAAAATGAATTAAAAAATATTTTATAATCAAAATCATTGTTTCAGAACTGTATGTATATTTGGGTGCGTGACCATCGTCTTCACCATAAATATAGTGACACCGATGCTGATCCCCACAATGCAAATCGTGGTTTCTTTTTCTCCCACATGGGTTGGTTGATGAGCCGCAAACATCCCGCCGTTATAGAGAAAGGAAAAACCATCGACATGTCTGATTTGGAAGCCGATTTCCTCGTCATGTTCCAGAAATTGTAAGCGTACCTTCTAAACCACCACTTACACATCACAATTAACCGTGTTATTAACCATGAACTCGTCGGAATTTCATTTTTCGTTCTTATTTATGAGAAAGTCATTTTTATTTTCTTACAAGTCAATCACGAGCGATGCAATTTCTCCTAATTCATCGAACGGATGAATAAAGGAGAGAGGGGAAAGTTTTTCACCATAAAAAATTAATCAATGCATAATTACTAATTACCAATTCTTTTTTAGCTTTTATAAACCTATGTATGTTTTATTCGCTTTGGCGATTCCAATAGCAGTTCCAGTTTATCTTTGGAATGAAAATTATTACGATGCTCTTTTTGTGGTTTATTTCGCTAGATATATTTTAACTTTAAATATAACTTGGTTGGTAAATAGCGCTGCTCATTTATACGGAACAAAACCATACGATAAGTAAGTTTTTTTTAATCAATTCTTGATTTCTTTAATTTTAACTTTTTAGAAATTTTGGTGCTGTTGAAAGTTGGTTTGTATCTTTTGCAACTGTCGGTGAAGGTTGGCATAATTACCATCACGCTTTTCCGTGGGATTATCGCGCTGGGGAATATGGAACCCACTACAGTTTGACTACTTTTATAATTGATCTTTTAGAAAAATTCGGATTTGTTTACGATTTAAAAACGACTCCTGGAAATATGATCGAACAAAGAGTTTATAGAACGGGAGATCCTAGTTGTAAAGAAAAAGTACAAGATGGGAAAATTATCGATATTAATGGAAATGAAATTGATCCAAAATTACAATTAAAATTAAAGGGTTGATGTGGAAAAAATTCTTTTGTTGGTTTCTTGTTTGTGGTGGTTTCAAAAACTCATCAGATCGTAGTGAAGTTAAATTTGCTAGTGATTAGTTTATTTTAGATGTAATTTTTGTAAATGTTGGTTACCTTAGTAGAATTTATTATTATAAATTGTAAATTTTATGGTTGTTAATAAAGTAAATAAATTCTAAGTTAAAATTAATATTGTTTATCTAAAAATTTTTTCATGTAAAACATTTGTGTTGTATATATTATCTGAAAGAGGAAGATTTTAGCTTTAATTCGATGCCCTTTTCAACCTAATCAAATTTAAAATGAAATAAGAACGTTAATTTAAACGAGATCAAATTACCTGCAGACATAGGCACGGATTGGGAATTTAAAAGACCTTAGGTTTGGAAGAAATTGGGCTTTTATGGTATTTACAGAGCTATTTATTATGCTAAATCGATAACATCAATTTGGGGTAAGTTTTGTTTGTTAATAATTAATCAATACTTCATAAAATTAATTAGTTTAGAATAACTTTTTACATTCATTAAAGCTCTCAACCTAGTTTCACACGTATAAAATAAGTAAACTAATATCAAATAGTAACTGTAATAGCAGCAACCAGTTGTTACTAAGATAAAAAAGTAACATGTTTACATATTAAGCCATTAAAATTTACGAAGCATAATTTTTAAAATTCCAAACTCAAATTTATTATGAGTTAAAAAGGTTTTAAGTTTTATTTTTGTTCTTTTGAGGTGATTAGATTGGTAACATTGATTGTTGAAACGAAACCACTTGCTACTTTTGTTAGTTGGATTAATAAGGAACATTCTTTATATAAAAAGCTTTCTTAAATCTTTTCTATTTGGAGTGACAATTACTTTTTATGTAAAAATATAGAAAATTCCATTATTTTATCATTTTGAGGCGGTTAAGTTGGTAGTATTGATTGTTCGAATAAAACCCTATATTAGATTTGTTAGTTGAATCAATAAGGAACATTTTTAACATAAAATATTCTTATGTACCGTTTTATTTAGAAGTTACAATAATTTTATTGGCAAAAAGATGAAAATTTAACTTTTTTGTAACTTTGAGGCGATTAAGTTGGTAATATTGATTCTTGAAACAAATCCCTATATTAGTATTATTAGTTAAATCAATAAGGAGTACTTTTTTATAAAAAAGTTTTTTCTATATCTTTTTATTTTGAAGTTACACTTAATTTGTGTGTAAAAATACATAAATTTCACATTTGTTGATATTTTGTGGCCATTAAGTTGATAACATCGATTTTGGAAAGATTCCTTTTTATTAAATTTGTTATTTGGATCAATAAGAAACATTTTTTATATAAAAGTATCTTTGTGTATCGTTTTATTTAGGTGTTACAACAATTTTATTCATGAAAATCTGAAAATTTAGTATTTTCGTAATTTTGAGGCGGTTAAGTTGGTAGTATTAATTGTTGCAATAAAACCCTACATTAGATTTGTTAGTTGGATCAATAAGGAATATTTTTTGCATAAATAAATACTTGTGTACCCTTTTATTTAGAAGTTACAATAATTTTATTGGTAAAAATATGAAAATTTATCTTTCTTGTAATTTTGAGGCGTTCAAGTTGGTAATAGTGATTCTTGGAACAAATCCCTAGTTAGTATTATTAGTGAAATCAATAAAGAATACTTTTTTATATAAAAAAATTTTCTTCATCTTCTTATTCGGAAGTTACATTTAATTTGTATGTAAAAATACATAAATTTCACATTCTTTAATATTTTGTGGTATTTAAGTTGGTAACATCCATTATGGAAATATACCTTTTTATTAAATTTGTTATTTGGATCAATAAGGAACATTTTCTTTATAAAAGTACTTTTGTGTATTGGTTTATTTAGGAGTTACAATAATTTTATTTATAAAAATTTGAAAAGTTAATATTTTCGTAATTTTGAGGCGATTAAGTTGGTAGTAAGTTGATTGTTGGAATGAAACCCTATATTACATTTGTTAGTTGAATCAATAAGGAATATTTTTTGCACAAAAAAAATTTTGTGTGTCCTTTTATTTGGAAGTTACAATAATTTTATTGGCAAAAGTATGAAAATTTAACTTTTTTCTAATTTTTAGGCGATATAGTTGGTAATATTGATTCTTGGAACAAATCCCTGTGTTAGTATGATTAGTTAAATCAATAAGGAATACTTTTTTACATAAAGATTATTTTCTACATCTTTCTATTTTTAAATTACAATTAATATTTATGTAGAAATACGTAAATTTCACATTTTTTGATATTTTGGGGTGATTAAGTTGGTACCATCAATTTTGGAAAGATGCCTTTTCACTAAATTTGTTATTTGGATTAATAAGGAACAATTTTTATATAAAAGTATTTTTGTGTATCGTTTTATTTAGGAGTTACAATAATTTTATTGGTAAAAATATGAAAATTTATTTTTTTTGTAATTTTTAGGCGACATAGTTGGTAATAATGATTCTTGGAACAAATCCCTGTGTTAGTATGATTAGTTAAATCAATAAGGAATACTTTTTTATATAAAGATTATTTTCTACATCTTTCTATTTTTAGATTACAATTAATATTTATGTAGAAATACGTAAATTTTACATTCTTTGATATTTTGTGACGATTAAGTTGGTAACATCAGTTTTGGAAAGATACCTTTTTATTAAATTTATTATTTGGATCAATAACGAACATTTTTTATATAAAAGTGTTTTTGTGTATCGTTTTATTTAGGTGTTACAACAATTTTATTCATAAAAATATGAAAAATTAATATTTTTGTAATTTTGAGACGATTAAGTTGGTAGTATTGATTGTTGGAATAAAACCTTATATTAGATTTGTTAGTTGAGTCAATGAAGAACATTTTTGACATAAAAAAATTGTTATGTACCGTTTTATTTAGAAGTTACAATAATTTTGTTGGCAAAAGTATCAAAATTTAACTTTTTTCTAATTTTGTGGCGATTAAGTTGGTAATATTGATTTGTGAAACAAATCCCTATACTAGTATTATTAGTTAAATTAATACGGAATACTTTTTTATATAAAAAGTTTTTTCTGCATCTTTTTATTTTGAAGTTACATTTAATTTTTATGTAAAAATACATAAATTTCACATTTTTTGATATTTTGTGGCGATTAAGTTGGTAATATCGAGTTTGGAAAGATATACCTTTTTATTAAATTTGTTGTTGGATCAATATGGAACATTTTTAAATAAAAGTATATTTGTGTATCGTTTTATTTAGGAGTTACAACAATTTTATTCATAAAAATATGAGAATTTAATATTTTCGTAATTTTAAGGCGATTAAGTTGGTAGTATTGATTGTTGGAATAAAACCTTATATTAAATTTGTTGTTGGATCAATATAGAACATTTTTAAATAAAAGTATATTTGTGTATCATTTTATTTTGGAGTGAAAACAATTTTATTCATAAAAATCTGAAAAGTTAATATTTTCGTAATTTTGAGACGATTAAGTTGGTAGTATTGATTGTTGGAATAAAACTTTATATTAGATTTGTTAGTTGAATCAATGAGGAACATTTTTAACATAAAAAAATTCTTATGTACCGTTTTATTTAGAAGTTACAATAATTTTATTGGTAAAAGTAAGAAAATTTAACTTTTTTGTAATTTTGTGGCGATTGAGTTGGTAATATTGATTTTCGAAACAAATCCCTATATTAGTATTATTAGATAAATCAATGAGGAATACTTTTTTATATAACAAGTTTCTTCTACATCTTTTTATTTTGATATTACAATTAATTTTTGTGTAGAAATGTGTAAATTTCACATTTTTTGATATTTTGTGGTGATAAAGTTGCTAACATCGATTTTGGAATGATACCTTTTTATTAAATTTGTTATTTGGATCAATAAGGAACATTATTTATATAAAGGTATATTTGTGTATCGTTTTATTTAGGAGTTACAACAATTTTATTCATGCAAATATGAAAATTTAGTATTTTCGTAATTTTGAGGCGGTTAAGTTGGTAGCATTGACTGTTGGAAAGAACCCTATATTACATTTGTTAGTTGGATCAATNAAAATATGTAAATTTCACATTTTTTGATATTTTGTGGTGAAAAGTTGGTAACATCGATTTTGTAAAGATACCTTTTTATTAAATTTGTTATTTGGATCAATAAGCAACATTTCTAATATAACAATATTGTAAGTATCGTTTTATTTAGGAGTTACAATAATTTTATTGGTAAAAATATGAAAATTTATCTTTTTTGTAATTTTTAGGCGACATAGTTGGTAATATTGATTCTTGGAACAAATCCCTGTGTTAGTATGATTAGTTAAATCAATAAGAAATACTTTTTTATATAAAGATTATTTTCTACATCTTTCTATTTTTAAATTACAATTAATTTTTATGTAGAAATACGTAAATTTCACATTCTTTGATATTTTGTGACGATTAAGTTGGTAACATCGGTTTTGGAAAGATACCTTTTTATTAAATTTATTATTTGGATCAATAAGGAACATTTTTTATATAAAAGTGCTTTTGTGTATCGTTTTATTTAGGTGTTACAACAATTTTATTCATTAAAATCTGAAAAGTTAATATTTTTGTAATTTTGAGGCGATTAAGTTGGTAGTATTGATTGTTGGAATAGAACATTATATCAGATTTGTTAGTTGAGTCAATGAAGAACATTTTTGACATAAAAAATTCTTATGTACCGTTTTATTTAGAAGTTACAATAATTTTATTGGCAAAAGTATGAAAATTTAACTTTTTTCTAACTTTTAGGCGATTAAGTTGGTAATATTGATTTGTGAAACAAATCCCTATATTAGTATTATTAGTTAAATTAATACGGAATACTTTGTTACATAAAAAGTTTTTTCTGCATCTTTTTATTTTAAAGTTACATTTAATTTTTATGTAAAAATACATAAATTTCACATTTTTTGATATTTTGTGGCGATTAAGTTGGTAACATCGATTTTGGAAAGATATACCTTTTTATTAAATTTGTTGTTGGATCAATATGGAACATTTTTAAATAAAAGTATATTTGTGTATCGCTTTATTTAGGAGTTACAACAATTTTATTCATAAAAATATGAAAATTTAATATTTTCGTAATTTTAAGGCGATTAAGTTGGTAGTATTGATTGTTGGAATAAAACCTTATATTAGATTTGTTAGTTGAATCAATGAGGAACATCTTTTGCATAAAAAATTCTTATGTACCGTTTTATTTAGAAGTTACAATAATTTTATGAACATTTTTACTTTGAACATTTTTTGCACAAAAAACTTCTTGTGTGTCGTTTTATTTGGAAGTTACAATAATTTTATTGGCAAAAGTATGTATATTTAATTTTTTTGTAATTTTGAGACGATTAAGTTGGTAATACTGATCCTTGGAACAAATCCCTATATTGGTACTATTAGTTAGATCAATAAGAAATACTTTTTTATATCAGGAGATTTTTCTACATTTCTTTATTTTGAAGTTACAATTAATTTTTATGTAAAAATACGTAAATTTCACAATTTTTGATATTTTGTGGTGATAAAGTTGCTAGCATCGATTTTGGAATGATACCTTTTTATTAAATTTGTTATTTGGATCAATAAGGAACGTTATTTACATAAAAGTATATTTGTGTAGTGTTTTATTTAGGACTTACAACAATTTTATTCATGCAAACATGAAAATTTAGTATTTTCGTAATTTTGAGGCGGTTAAGTTGGTAGCATTGACTGTTGGAAAGAACCCTATATTACATTTGTTAGTTGGATCAATAAGGAATATTTTTTGCATACAAAAATTCTTGTGTACCGTTTTATTTAGAAGTTACAATAATTTTATTGTTAAAAATATGAAAATTTAACTTTTTTGTAATTTTGAGGCGATTCAGTTGGTAATATTGATTTTCGAAACAAATCCCTATATTAGTATTATTAGATAAATCAATAAGGAATACTTCTTTATATAAAAAGTTTCTTCTACATCTTTTTATTTTGAAGTTACAATTGATTTTTGTGTAGAAGTATGTAAATTTCATTTTTTTTGATATTTTGTGGTGATTAAGTTGGTAATATCAATTTTGAAAAGAAACCTTTTTATTAAATTTGTCATTTGGATCAATAAGGAACATTTTTTATATAAAAGTATTTTTGTGTATCGTTTTATTTAGGAGTTACAACAATTTTATTCATAAAAATATGAAAATTTTGTATTTTCGTAATTTTGAGGCGGTTACATTGGTAGTATTGATTGTTGGAAAGAACCCTATATTAGATTTGTTAGTTGGATCAATAAGGAATATTTTTTGCATAAAAAATTCTTATGTACCGTTTTATTTAGAAGTTACCATAATTTTATTGTTAAAAATATAAAAATTTTACTTTTTTGTAATTTTGAGGCGATTCAGTTGGTATTATTGCTTTTCGAAACAAATCCCTATATTAGTATTATTAGATAAATCAATAAGGAATACTTTTTTATATAAAAAGTTTCTTCTACATCTTTTTATTTTGATATTACAATTAATTTTTGTGTAGAAGTATGTAAATTTCATTTTTTGTTATGATTAAGTTGGTAACATTGATTATAGAAAGATACCTGTTTTTCTGTGGGAGGAATTGGTTATTTCGTTGGATAAGAAGCAAAAACGTCAAAAATTATTTGTTCAAAAACTTTATTACATAATAAAAATAAACCACTCAGACAAATAAATAAGTTACATCCAACAAATTTACAGATCCAAATCAATCGTCATCAAAATCCTTAATAGGCATAATGAACACCTAATCCTTCGAATGTTGTGTGAGCAACAGCTACAGCTGGTGAGTAAGAAAGTGCGGCGGTTTTAACAACTGGGGCTGCAACTGGAGCGGCGTAAGAGATTGGAGCATGAGCAACTGGAGCGGAGTAAGAGATTGGAGCATGAGCAACTGGAGCGGCGTAAGAGATTGGAGCATGAGCAACTGGGGCGGCATAAGAAATTGGTGCAGCATGGGCAGCATAAGCAACTGGGGTGTGAGCTACGGAGACAGCATCGTTGGTGATTCTCGTGTCGTATTTCCTTACAGATGAGAAGGCGCTATCAACAGCTTTCGAGTAATGGGATACAGCTTGGTTACCACCCAAAGATCTTAAAACGCTTTGATGGGTTGCTCCAACAGCTGGGGCGTGGATTGCAACGGGAGCGGCGGCTGCTACCGGGGTGGAATAATAAGCAGTGCTGACTGAAGCTGCTGGCGAATAAGCCAATGGGGCTTGGATAACTCCAGCGTTGACAGATGCTAAGAAAGCGGCCAAAACGACGAACTAAAAAGAATAAAAACAATTAAACAACAAAATTAATTAAAAATAAAATCACTTACTTTGAATGCCATTTTAAATGAGTTTGTTTGAAATAGACGAAAAATGTCTTAATGAATATCTTAAGTTGTTAAGAGAACAGTTGATGTTGAACTGATGACTGTTAAGATTATTTGATCGGTTTTTATACCCGAAAAGCCGCGTATCGTTTGCGTAATAAAAATAAGAAGAAAGAAAAAATTGGGTGGTGTGATCCACTTTAAAGTCGCGAAACTTGTTCGGTTGAAAAGAAGGTCTAGGTTCTTCTTGGGCGGTGCCGGATCGCTATTCGAAATAATGAAGGAGATTTTCAGAGGTTTTCGATAAAGGTCAAAGGAGTTCCTTGGAATACTTTTACTAAAACGCTATGTAATCGGTGGGTTTAAAGACATTATGCGTTATTATAATGGGGTCTATTATAAAACTTCTCTGAATAACCGGCTCGGGTTTTCGGCTCAATTACGACATTAAAACAAAACGAGATGGGTGTGGTTGCTTTCACTTTTTTCTGTATCTGTATTCGCTTTTATTGTTTGTATTAATTAGATTTAACGTATTATAACATTTTTCGAGCTTCCATTACATGCAGCTTATTCAATAAAAGATCTAACTTATATCCAATATCTCCTAAAACTCCCTCAACCATATCTAATCGTTTCTGCTGACTAAATAAATTTTAATATTGATAAATCATTTTTGAGGTCAACTTACGCCAAAAATAGGGCTGGAGTTACACTTGGAGTTCTCGTTGTGAAGCTTTCATTGCCTTTCTTTAAAATAGATGGATGATGGACGTCACTTTCAATTAAATTAAGAGGGATAGGTGATGGTTGATTATCTTGTTGTGGGACTAAATTAATACTTATTAAGTTTGGATTAATAAATAATTAAAAAAATTATTTACGTTCAGATCGCAAATTTTCCACCAATTTGTCAACATCTCTTGTATAAACTTTAGCATCTGGGTCAATGTTATAGCGACTTAAAAACATTTCTATATCTAAATCACTAAATCCACACCTACTCATAATTGTTGAATTAAAGACATTTAATAATGTTTTAATTAGTGATGGAACGGATTTTGCGAAAAGCCGGATATCCGGCCATTTGAATAAAAATGAAATTAATAAGAAAGCTGATAAGATATGTCAACTTATTTGCATCCAAGCTANACTGGATTTTATACGAATTTTTAAAACTTAATCGGCGAAAATTGCAAAATTCGAAAAAATTGTCGATCATTTCAAAAATTTATTTCTCAAAAACTTAAAGCGATTTTTTAAAACGGCTTGTTGCATTAAAAAGAGGATACTTTAATTAATAATTGGAGATATTTCTACAAGGATCCTTCATGAAATTAATTTTATAGCGAATTTTGAAAATTATCGATAAAAATTGCAACATCGAAAATTTTATCAAAATTTCAAATATTGTTTTCTCAAAAACTAAAAGATATTTTTCAAAACGAGTTGGTTCATTGGAAAGAGTACACTTTTATTAACACTTTGGGAAATTTTTATACTCATATTCCAAGGAATGGATTTTATACAAATTTTTAAAACGTAATCGGCGCAAATTGCAAAATTTGAAAAATTATCGATCATTTCAAAAATTTGTTTCTCAAAAACTAAAATAATTTTTCAAAACGGCTTGTTGCATTAAAAAGAGGATACTTTAATTAATAATTGGTGATATTTCCACAAGGATCCTTCATGAAATTAATTTTATAGCAAATTTTGAAAATTATCGATGAAAATTTCAACATCGAAAATTTTATCAAAATTCAAATATTGTTTTCTCAAAAACTAAGTTATTTTTCAAAATGGGTTGGTTCATTGGAAAGAGGATACTTTTATTAACACTTTGGGAAATTTTCATACTCATATTCCAAGAAATTGATTTTATACGAATTTTTAAAACTTAATCGGTAAAAATTGCAAAATTCAAAAAAATTGTCGATTATTTCAAAACTTTATTTCACAAGAACTAACAGTGATATTTCAAAACGGCTTTTTGCATTAAAAAAAGGATGTTTTAATTAATAATTAATGATATTTCCACAAGGATTCTTTAAGAAATTAATTTTATAGCGAATTTTGCAAGTTATCGATGAAAGTTGCAACATCGAATACTTTATCAAAACTTCAAATATTGTGTTCTCAAAAACTAAAAGTTATTTTTCAAAACGGGTTGGTTCATGGGAAAGAGTACACTTTTATTAACACTATGGGAAATTTTTATACTTATATTCCAAGAAATGGATTTTATATAAATTTTTAAAACTTAATCGGCGAAAATTGCAAAATTCGAAAAAATTGTCGATCATTTCAAAAATTTATTTCTCAAAAACTAAAAGCAATTTTTCAAAACGGCTTGTTGCATTAAAAAGAAGATACTTTAATTGATAATTGGTGATATTTCCACAAGGATCCTTCAAGAAATTAATTTTATAGCGAATTTTGCAAGTTATCGATGAAAATTGCAACATCGAAAATTTTATGAAAACTTCAAATATTGTTTTCTCAAAAACTAAAAATTATTTTTCAAAACGAGTTGGTTCATTAGAAAGAGCATACTTTCATTAACACTTTGGAAAATTTTCATACTCATATTTCAAAAAATGGATTTTATACGAATTTTTAAACTTAATCGGCAAAACTTCCGAAACAAAATACGAAAAAAATTGGCCGGGTAGGCCGGATACCGGATAATTGCCGAATATCCGTTCCACCACTAGTTTTAATTATAACTGTAACAGAGTTTTAATTAATATGTTTATTTAATAAACATAAACATATTACAATATAATTAAGAGCATACACGTTTCACACGATGCTTATTATTATTATTTTTAACTTTTGACTAGATGACGCGGCAATCATATATTCGTTACAACCTCTCCGTGGAAGTAATCACCCCTCAAGTTGAAGATACGATTGATGTAAGCTTGAATGTTGATGAATGTTCTACTCTCGATTCTGATCAAAAATCGCAATTGAATCAATTACTACATGACAATGTCGAAATGTTCTCGCCAAGTTCAGAACCAACTCCATATGCAGAGCATTGCATAAGGCTTACCAACGATATTCCCATAGCCTCCGTATCGATTGGCAGAACCAAAGAGAAAATTCTTAGAAAAGGCAATCCAGCAGATGGTTGAGGATGACATCATTGAAGAGTCGGATTCTGCCTATGCTTCACCAGTTGTATTGGTGCCAAAGGCAAACAAATCTGATCAATATCGTGTATGTGTCGACTACCGGAAGCTGATTGGACGACCTTTTACATGAAGCAAAACAAACTGCCTTTATGAGTACGCTAGATCTACGATCCGGATATTGGCAAGTAGCTGTCCGACCTGAAGATCGGGACAAAACTAGTTTTGTTACCCCATTTGGAAATTATCGCTTTAAACGCATGCCTTTTGGGTTAAGAAATGCACCTTCAACCCTTCAAAGGATGATGGACCGTTTTAAAAAAACATTACCGGATGTTACAATCCTTGTCTACATTGATGATATTGTGATTCTATCACCCACCTTTGAAAAACATCTAAACGACTTGAGAAGGGTATTTGAAAAGCTGAAGAAGTTCAAGTGACGCGTAAATGGAAAAAAATATACTTTCATGGCTCCAGAGGTAAAATACTTGGGACACATTATTACGCCTGAAGGTATAAAACCAAACATGGACAAGATTGCCGCTATTATTAAAATACCAAAACCGAAAAACGTTCGTGAACTCCTAACATTCCTAAACAGTTTCGTGGTTTCGTAGGTTCATCCCTGGTTGTGCCGGAATCATAAAACCTCTCACTGAGCTTATCAGGAAGAATGCTGAGTGGAAATGGGAATCTGCACAAGATTGCGCTTTCGAGAAATTGAAAACCTTTTTGTCAACTGCACCCATTCTGCAACAAGCTGACCCTTCCCAACCATACATCTTACGTTGCGATGCGAGTGCTTATGCAATTGGATCAGCTTTACTCCAGGGGGGGAGCCTCCAAACGATAGTCCAATAAAGTACGCAAGCAGACTTTTGACAGACGCTGAAAGGAATTACAGTACTACAGAGAGGCTACCGAAAAGCTTCGTGGTTATATAGAATCATCTTAAATTTATGTTATCAGCGACCACCAACCACTTAAATGTTTGATGTCAATTAAATCGCCGAGTGGCCGTCTCGCCAGATGGGCACTTAAACTGCAAAGTTATGATATACAAATAGATTATACTCCTGGAAAATTAAATGCATTAGCAGATACGCTCTCCAGACTGCCTTACTCTCATGAACCAAATGTTAAAGCTTACTTGAGGACCATCATTGATTTGCGTACAACTAATTACAAAGAACTTCGACACCAGCAATTAGAAGATCCGATCCTTACAACCATCATCCATAACTTAGAAAATACAATTGCAACTAAACAAGCTACCGAAAGAGGATTCTTGCTGTTGAATGGAGTGTTGTACCGTTATGCACCAGACTCAGATGAAGAAGACGCTGTACAAGTAGTACCAACTGCAGATGTTAAGAAAATCTTGTTCGAATATCATGACGCGCCCGAAGCTGGACATTATGGTTTCGAAAAGACTTATCAAAAGATAAAAAAACGCTACTACTGGATGAACATGAGACGTGACATTGAAACTCATGTCAAGACCTGTATTAAGTGTCAGAGATTTAAGCCGAGGAATCAAAAGAAAGCTGGTTTATTACAATCACCGGTACAAAATCGCCGGTTTGAAGTAATCGCCATTGACCTCTTTGGACCACTACCGAAGACAGAAAACGGTGAACAGTGGATTTTCGCCATAGAAGATACATGTTCTCGATGGGTTGAACTCTTTGCTCTAGAACAAGCCACCGCCGAAGCCTGTGCTCGATGCCTTATCATTGAAATAATCCTACGATATGGAACACCACGTCGTGTTATAAGCGACAATGGACCACAATTTGTAAGCGACGTATTACAGCTAATGACCTATGCTTTAGGATTCAAACAAAGTCTAATACCGGCTTTTCACCCCGAAGTATACCCTGTCGAACGGAAAAAATAGGGATTTGAAAACCCAGTTAGCAATCCTAACTGCCCAACAACATTACCAGTGTTCTACACATTTAGCTAGTATTCTTTTTGCGATGAACACCACCGTTAATGCTGCTACTGGAAAAACGCCCGCTTTCCTCACATTTGGAAGGGAGTTAAGAACACCCGACGATACTGAGAGAGACCTGCGTGCGATCATACAAGTAGCTCTTTTTGTATCACAAATTACACCATTTCTATTACAGTTACAAGAAGTTTTGTCAACAGCTCGTGATGTCGCCGAAAAACATCAGGACGTCTCAAAATTCAATGCTGATCTTCATCGTCGCCCTGGACCTTCCTACGCTATTGGGGATAAGGTCTTGGCTGACGTACATGCCTTAAGTAAAAGCAAAGCTGCCTTCACCAGCAAGTTTGCAGCTCGTCGTGATGGTCCGTATCTAGTTGTGGTCCGCGTTGTAGGCGTATCCAAGCAGTGCGATGACAGAAAAATATTAAAAATAATAATAAGCATCGTGTGAATCGTGTATGCTCTTAATTATATTGTAATATGTTTATGTTTATTAAATAAACATATTAATTTTAAAACTCTGTTACATAACCTTTTTAAAATCATTTTAACATCATCTTCAACATTGCTACGTGTTTTTTTAGGAAAATACCATTTTCTGGCACAAAAACCACAACCACAACATTTTAATAAATTGTATGTTGCGGTGGTCCAAAAATCAACCATGTTTTTTTCATTGGGACGAGTTGCAGCTTGTAATTTAGCATCGGTGTAACAATCGTAAATGATCGCTAAAAATAAATTCTAAAAAAATATGTGTGTAACAAAAATGTTTTGTAAATAACATAAACTTACTAATAAAATAAAAAACGTTATTGCCAAAAATAGGTAGTAAAAAATGTAGGACATTACAGGGTCGACTTTTAAAAGCTTATCAAACGTGAGATCGCCGATGAGGATTCGTGATAATGCGAATAAAGATAAAGCAAAAGTCGAGAAATCCCATAACTTAAATAAATTTTTTTTAAATTAAATACATCAGTTATTTGTTATTTACTTGTGTTCCAAAAATAAGTCCACCAAAAAGGGCAAATCCGAAATAAACTATACAAATGATTACTAAAAATGCAGCAACATCTAGTAAACACTAACAAATATAATTAATTTATATAATGTAAAATATATAAAGTATTTTTTTTACCTTCCCAAAAGCTTCATGAATTTCGCTCGTAGATACATTAAAATTAATAATTCTAAACAATTTAAAATAAGCAACAAAGAGTGCGATTGCCATTGCGTGTATCATGTACATTTCTCCGGTTGTTACTTCTTCTAAATGAATGCGTTTCTCGACGTTTTTCGATGTTTCCATTAACAAATTGTGAACCTCCCAATGTTGCATTATTTGAAACACCACAAATGTTATTGAACTCTAAGTATAAAATATAATAGTTAAATCTAACATTATTAAGGACAGGGCCAATACATATTGGATGGAAGATGAGGAGAGGGGATTTAAACTGTAATAGGTAAAGTGTGATAAGTTGAGTGAGGAGGTAATAGACTCGAAGTACATATGTGTCTCTGGTTTTATGTGTCTTTAGTCAGGAGATATTAGAATTAGTATGACTGCCAACAGTTTTAGCTCACGTAAAAGCCTTTTTGGGTCTTCTTATGTTATCAGCAATTTATAAATCCAACTGCGAAGATATGTTAATAAATTTACCGGACGCTCTATTTTTCGTGCTGTAATGTCTGTCAAAAGATTTTAAATTATTCCAGGAGCTTTACTCTTTGACAATCCAGTTACCAAAGACGACAGGAAGAGAGATAATCCGGGAGCTGCAATTACAAATATATTCCAAAATTTTGTAAATAATTGTCAGAAATTATATTCTTTGTCTAATAAATATGGTCTCAAGTTAGAGACACTTCCAGTAATAAATTAAAAGAAGTTACTTCGGGTTAAAAGTTAAATAAACTAGAAGAGGAATACACTAAATGGGGTTTAGAAATGAACAAAGATAAGACTCAATATATGGTAATTAGAGAAACGGAAAATGACATACAATTGGAGACTGGCATAATAAAACATGTAGACCAGTACGAATACCTTGAAGTAGTTATAAACGAAGACAGAAAGGACAATAACGATGTAATGAGGAAAGTTGGCAGAGGAAAACAAGCGAAAAAGGCAATGCATTCTATTCTGTGAAATAACAACCTAACGATACGAACAAAAATATTTTTAAGAACATTATACTAGAAGTATTAATGATGTATGGGTCAGAAGACAAAAACACAACTCGAAGAGACGATGTTTTGGAGAAGATGCTGCGGCATAACCATGCTGGACCGAGTTGAAAATGAGGAAATACGAAGAAGAATGATGACACAAAACTCTAATAGACACTATAATTGAAAAGCAACTAAAATGGTATAGTCTGGACATCTACGCCGAATGAGAAAAGAGAGAATCCCACTTAAGGTTTGGAACTGAGTGCCACCAGATAGAAAGAAAAGAGGCCTAGGAAAAAAGTATCCAGGATATGAATATGGAGATGAAGAGGAGAGGACTAGGTAAAGACTATTGGAATGATAAGGACTGCTGGCGGTTGGGATGCGCGAAGCGGCAATAAAAAGCTGCAAATACTCGCCGAATAAAAACATAATAGATGGCTACTAATACCATGAGATACAAAGATTGAGGACAAATGATGGAGAAGTTTAATATAAAAGCACAATGAACCCTAGAGATACAATAACTTATATTGAAAACAAATAATTTCGATAGGTAGAGTATTATATAAGATATAGACGCAAAAAGATTTTGGTTTTCCTATGGATGGGCCTTAACAGAGTGTATACGACACATGGAGTCTGACTGCGCAGCTCCAAAGCAGTCTATCCTATTAGATCTTATCCTAACGATGTGAGGGACTTCTTTAATGCCAAACCCGCAACTCCGCAATTATCCAAATTGCTTTGGACACTTTTTTAACGTTACAAACTATAATATCATGGATCCTATTAATATAGCAAAACCATGGTCGTCAATTGCCAAATAAGTAGGTGTGCAACAGCCACACATTTTCGGTAGCTATAAAGTTTTATACGTATCTCAATTCAAACATTCAATCGAGTTAATTATCAGAATTTCTCCCTGTTGAGACGACGTTCTAAATATCTTATCGCACACGACCATAAAACTTATTTACTTCATGTTTAAGATTCAATTGCGTCTGATGCTAAACAATTTTGGGCATATGCGAAACGGAAAAGATGTGGTGTTGGAGTCAAGGGCGTCGCCAGCCAGTGGGCCAGGGGGCAGGAATAAAACCCTCAAAGTTCTCAAAAATATGCTTCCTATGCATACTCATCATAGCAAGACCATTGAGACGACATTCTGCCATAGTGCTTCTAAGTCAGATTTTTATTCTCCTCAAGCTGCTAAAAGATCGGTCAACAGTGTATGTATGTCGTGCAGAGTAAAGTGACCAAAATTATAAGGGCTTTCTCGTTTCAGGGAAAAAGTGTCGGCCTCTTTTATGACATCCACAACACTTAGTTCGTTTGAGTCAGGTTTATCTTGTCATAGTTCGATTTTGTTGCTGATATTTGATAAATTGTAAAATTGGGAAAATATTTCACCAGCTTCTACAAGGTCTTCAAGGAACATGTCTAATATTTGAGTCGGTTATAATTTTGATAAGAAAAATGACAGGGTGTTTTCTTCAGAAAAGCGAACTTCAAGAGAATTAATAATCGGGTCTTCCTTTCTACTGCCAAAAACTCATCTATTGCTTTTGCAATACATTTCGCATCCAAAGCATCAAGCTTGACGAATTCGAGGAATACTTCTTGAACTTCCTTGGTTTCCTAATCAAAATATCGCATCCCAATCGATAGTCGTTCAGTGCTCGAGATGTATATTTATTGTTTCCATTTTTTTTCCAATTTGTCTCTAGAGGGGGGGCCTAGAGCTTGCCTGCCGGCGGTTGTCCGTCATAATGGCGTTTCCTCTGCTAATGGGGAAGATGTCTGTGCTCTTTACTCCGATTATTTTGGTTTGGTATTCGTACCACCAGTTATTGGTGTATATTCTGAAAGGGATCAAAGTCATAATACGGTTTCCATTGACTATTTTGATTTTCTGGAGGTTAAAGAGGTAATTGATGGTGTAGCCAAAAAGGTTCGGGTCTAGACGGCATATCTGCAACTTTTATTAGCAACTACTCTCAAGCACTCGCGAAACTTCTATGGTTAATATTTAATACGTCAGTGCGCTACTGTGTCTTTCTTTCTGTATGGAAACAGTCTAAAATTACTCCTATTTTTAAGTCTGCCGATCGAAGCCTTGTAAACAACTATTTTTGGAAAACTCATTTATAATAGACTATTTTTTCAAATTAAGTCATGTATTGGTATGGAACAACACGGTTTCTTCCCTGGACGTTCTTTTGAGACCAATCTGTTAGAGTATGCTGATTTCCTTTTTTCAAATCTTGATAAGTATTTATACCAATTTCAGTAAAGCATTTGATAAGGTTGATCACAATTTATTACTCTTAAAATAGGAATGCGTAGGTGTCGCAGGTGTCTTGTTGAAGTGATTTGAATCTTATATCTCCAACCGGACTCAGGTAGTCATGATTTGTGGGCACTCGTCTGACTATATTGTTATGACTTCTGGGGCTTAATTTACATAGGAGATGCCAAATCTACCATATACCCACGCTTCAGCAGCGTAGATATTGTAGTGATGTTCGCTTCCTGTACAGACTGGTCACTGGTTATTGTGACTCCATACCTTCTCTCAAGAATTGATTTGCATGTTCCTCCTCGTCGGTTACTATATGATTTCTTATTTTATGCACCAACAGCTCGAATCAGCTCTTATAAGAATTCTCCAATCGTACGGATGGAAAGAGCAGTAGATCGCCTTAGGTTGGACATTTAACTTGTTTAGATACCTTTTAGGAAGAAGCTTCAAGCACTGAAAACGTCAGATTAGAGAAGGTAAGTTCATACCATTCAAATATAAGAGAGTGTGATTATGCTTGGTGGAAATTGAAAAATTCTTTACATTTTAACGCGCAACTTCTTTTCATTAGATGATATTGACTTCAAATTTTGATAATATATTTATTACGATATAGTTAATAATAGTAATATAATAATGAGAGTTAATCCCCCCGTGACGTCATGCGCCAATGTTATAAGTTATAAGTATAGGGAGGGGTGCCAAACAAAGTTTGGGGGAAAAAAATTTGGTTGGTAGTAAAAGTAACTAAATATCCGGTAATTTTATAGCGCGGGAAATTTGATGTCAGAAAAATTTTAAAAATTCGTGCCTGCTAGCGGTGGGGTAGTTAAACTAACCCCACTAGAGTTCTGCACGGCGTGTGTATTGCTAACACCTACTTTTTCCTTCATATATTTTTTTAAGCTATTCTAGCCCTTGTTAACCCCATAAAATAATTTTGTTGAGTTACATATAATGTGTTAATTAACTATCGTACCCCACGTCATCATTGCAAGTATATCACAGTATTGGTTGCATACTGCGATATTGGTTGCATACTGTGATATTGGTGGAGTATAGTTGTGAGGTAGCTCCTAATAAGACTTGTTCTGTCGCTACATCTTCCATGGCAGTAAGCAACGACTAAGCTTTTATTCGAGGTAACAAGTAGTGCTGATGATGCCTCACTAATATGGCTAACTCTTATAGAGTCTTGTCAAAGAATGAAAACTGTGTCACTTAGCAAGTGATTCAGTCTCATTGCTCGAGTTTGAAAGAATTATAAGTATGTAGGTGAGAATATAACATAAATCAAACCTATAAATAGTAAAAACAAAGAAAATTTACCGCAATTAACAATACATCAACGTAATTCCAAAATTCATAAAAAAATCTTTTCCGTAAAAAGATAATTTCCCGAATTTCTTCGATAGTATAGAAAACAATTAATAAGATAAAAATAATTTCGCAGGCTAAAACGAAAAAATCCGTCGCTGTCGTGTACCGAGGCATCCTCCACGTGAAAAAATTGCTCGTTGGAACCACTCCGCCAGTTGGTGGGATTTCAAAAACGATCAAAACCAGTGTAAACAAATTAACGTGCGGATTATAGTAAGCTGAAGTAATAAACAGGGCTCGGGTTGTGTTTCGAATAAAATTCCCTAATTTTAAATTTTCCAAAACTTCTTCCGCTTCTTCGTAAGTTCTTGGTAATTCAATTTCGAAACCATCACCTCCATAACTGCTTATTCTTCCATTCCAATTTGCAGCTTTCGTTTCGGACGCTTTTTTATAAGTGTAATTGGTACCTTTTAATAAATAATTGTTTTAATTCTTAATTCTAATTTAAATTAAATTAACCTTCTATATCCTTTTTGTACGAATTACTTGTTGTGTAACTCGGTAAACACTCTTCGGTGATATTTGGAAAAGGATCCGGGCATTTAATCGGTGCCACCATTACTTGTCGGATGATCGGAATTCCTACCATTTTATTTTCTGTGCCGATACCTTTATCTGATTGATTTGTGTGTTGGAATTCGTCTGGATAAAGAATTACTAATAAATGATTGGTGAGGTAATCCCAAATTTCGTCAACGGTTGAAATTTCGTTGAATTTTACGTTGCTTGTGTTTTCCGCTTCTGGATAAGGTATCGTGGTATGATCGATCAGTTGTTTGCGAAGATTTTCTGCCATAAAAAAATCCGTTGATTTTGTTATACCTAATGCAGCTTAAAAAATAAATTTCAAATTGGATCAATTTTAGTTTTAATAAAATCCCTTACCTATACTCATACAAATAATTAATATTATATAAAAAAACACTTCCTGTGCGGTTGTAGCTAAATATAGATTTCTATTGACAAGTTTTGTCATTTGGGCCGTAGTCCAAGGTACTAATTACAAAAAAAAATAAATTAAAAAAATTCTTTTTTAATTAATTTTTACCTTTATGAAATTTTCGGACATTTTTGGATCGTTTCTTAACGTTAACGTTTTCGTTCGGATCTTCCATTTATTTAGATAATTAATTTTCTTTTTCAATCAATTAAATTCTTTTGCGAGCTTTCAATATCTATGGAGATTACTAAACAACGCAAAACAAAATTGTGAAATAAACAACAAAATAAGACTTTGAAAATATTTTGAAGTGAATTAATAAACATGCAATTGGGTAAAACATCTTCGAGAGATTTAATTGTTGATCAATCGATTCCGTTGGATAAGATATTTAAACGTCAACCACAAAGAGGTGAGAAGAAATTAATTTTAACACAAAATCTTATTCAATATAATTACACGATATAACGAACCTCGAGAAAGAACAAAATATTTTTAAGGGCCGGTTGTGTTTGTACTGTATTATAATTGTAGGGATATTTTTGTCGGTGAGATAACTTGTCGGGTACTCAGCGGTGCTGATAAAACAGTTATCCACCACATATAGTATATGGTTACCAAGATTTTTATATGAAAACTTTGTATGGTTACCTCATAGGTTAATCTATAACACCTATACGTACGTTGTGTTATTATATGTCGTCAAAAAAATTTTAAACAATTGTTATTGTCAAAATTTGGTCAAAATCATAATTCAATTTACTAGATATGGTGAAAAACTGTTACCAACCGACTTTTATTTCGCCTACTGACAAAAACAGTTTGTACTACAGCGAATATATTTATCCTCCCGATAAGTTTATCGGCCGGATAGTTATTAGATAGATTGTTAATTCTTGTTTTAGTTGTTAAGTTACATCCACACCAAAAGGAGCACAAAAGAACACTGTGTTTATGTTGCTTGTTCCTGGAACTTATATCTCAAAGTTTCTGGATGTTCTTTATTGTTTATGGCTGCAGAAAGAAATGTTCCTACAAATTTCAAAATATCTGTAAACATTTTTGTTTCGGACGCAGTGTGGACACGTTGTGACAACTTGTTTCCGAAACTTGTGTGCAGAAAATATGTCGTTCCAGTGAGTGTTTGTGAACCTCACGGGATAAAAGTTTTANCAAGGTACTAATTACAAAAAAAAATAAATTAAAAAAAATCTTTTTTAATTAATTTTTACCTTTATGGAATTTTCGGACATTTTTGGATCGTTTCTTAACGTTAACGTTTTCGTTCGGATCTTCCATTTATTTAGATAATTAATTTTCTTTTTCAATCAATTAAATTCTTTTGCGAGCTTTCAATATCTATGGAGATTACTAAACAACGCAAAACAAAATTGTGAAATAAACAACAAAATAAGACTTTGAAAATATTTTGAAGTGAATTAATAAACATGCAATTGGGTAAAACATCTTCGAGAGATTTAATTGTTGATCAATCGATTCCGTTGGATAAGATATTTAAACGTCAACCACAAAGAGGTGAGAAGAAATTAATTTTAACACAAAATCTTATTGAATATAATTAAACGATATAACGAACCTCGTTATAGTTCAGAAAGAACAAAATATTTTTAAGGGCCGGTTGTGTTTGTACTGTATTATAATTGTAGGGATATTTTTGTCGGTGAGATAACTTGTCGGGTACTCAGCGGTGCTGATAAAACAGTTATCCACCACATATAGTATATGGTTACCAAGATTTTTATATGAAAACTTTGTATGGTTACGTTGTGTAATTGTATATCGTCAAAAAAATTTTAAACATTTGTTATTGTCAAAATTTGGTCAAAATCATAATTCAATTTACTAGATATGGTGAAAAACTGTTACCAACCGACTTTTATTTCGCCTACTGACAAAAACAGTTTGTACTACAGCGAATATATTTATCCTCCCGATAAGTTTATCGACCGGATAGTTATCAGATAGATTGTTAATTCTTGTTTTAGTTGTTAAGTTACGTGCACTCCAAAAGGAACACAAAAGAACACTGTGTTTATGTTGCTTGTTCCTGGAACTTGTATCTCAAAGTTTCTGGATGTTCTTTATTGTTTATGGCTGCAGAAAGAAATGTTCCTACAAATTTCAAAACATCTGTAAACATTTTTGTTTCGGACGCAGTGTGGACACGTTGTGACAACTTGTTTCCGAAACTTGTGTGCAGAAAATATGTCGTTCCAGTGAGTGTTTGTGAAACTCACGGGATAAAAGTTTGAATGATCGTTACAAAAAAAACAAGATTTGTGGGTGGAAATTAGTAAAGTAACACGCGATTTGCGTATTGCAATACCAATACTGTGGTATTGGTTGCATACTTGCAATGATGACGTCGGGTACGATAATTAATTAACACTAGTGGTGGAACGGATATGCGGCAACTATCTGGTATCCGGCCATTTTTTAAAATCCGGCCGGATACCGGATAGTCACCAAATATCCGGCTTTGGCCGGATATTAAATATCTATTACTTAGTACTCCACCATTCACAGGAATTAGTATCCCTTTTAAGTGTTGGACACTGCAGATAATAATCAAGTTCAACCCCAATAGGACTTTTTTCATTGAATACAACTTTATTTATATCAAATTTGTCATTAGCAACCTCATTGTAACAATCCCAATACGATATACCGTGTGATGATAAAGTTTGGAACATAATTCATAATTACGTTATTTAATATTTTAAAAACGCTCGGACAGGTCAATTTTACTTTTAAAAAAGCCAACTTGTGACGTAAAAATTGTAGGTATGATGTCACCTATTTCGAAACCGTGACGTCATCATGACTTTTTTAAAATGACAACCCCATTTTTTTGCTGTTTTTCGTTAGTGCTCCTTACCACCTAAATGAGGATGTAAAAAACTTGGCACCTTACATAACAATTTTTTAGAAAAAAAAACACATTCACTTTAAAAAATAGAAAAGTAACTTTAATAGGGAAAACTTGTTTTTCCATTTTCTCTCAATATTTTTACGTTTTCGTTTTTCATTTCTTAAATCTTACAGCAGCAAGTTATCTAAATTTTTTGCCAGTAGATTTAATGCCAGTTCGGGGAGTAATTTTTCCAAATGATCACGAGGCAGATGTGCCTCATCGGGATATTTAGTTTCAACAAGATGGGGCTCCTCCTTACTTTGGTGTAGACGTCCGTCGATATCTAAATGCCACATTTCATGAAAGATGGATAGGTCGTCGAGGAGCAATTGAGTGGCCACCGCGTTCCCCAGACATTACTCTTTTGGATTTCTTTCTGTGGGGTTACTTAAAATCCATAGTTTATTTTAATAGACCTAATAATTTAGTGGAGCTACAGCATAGAATGCGCGCTGAAGTGGAGCAAATTAGTCCTGAAATTTTTGAGCGAAGTATACAAAGTGTTTACACTCATATCGGTCAATTTCAAATGGTTGGCGGAGAACAATTTGAATATTCGCGCAAAATTTTGTTTGTTTTTTGGGTTCAATAATTATTTTTTCATTAAAGTTACATTTTTATTTTTTAAAGTGAATGTGCTATTTTTTTCAAAAAAATTGTTATGTAAGGTGCCATTTTTTTTACATCATCATTTAGGTAGTAAGGAGCACTATCGAAAAACGGCAAAAAAAATGGGGTTGTCATTTAAAAAAGTCATAACGACGTCACGGTTCCGAAATAGGTCATTGGCTTTTTTAAAAATAAAATTGACCTGTCCCAGCGTTTTTCTTGAAAATATTAAATACCGCAATTATGGCATATCTATCCTGGATAGATATGCCGGATAACCGGATATCCGGCAGAAGGGGATGCCGAATATTCGGTATCCGGCTTTTTGCACAATCACTATCCGTTCCATCACTAATTAGCACACTGTATACAGAGTGAATCAATAGTGCGGGACGGAAGATAGTGGCGTTACAGTTAAAAATTAAAAAAAACGTTTTTATAAACCCTATGCATCTTTTAACATATGCTGATTAGCTGTCTTAAATGCTACAACAATACATGTCTTAAAATTTTGAATGCAAGGTTGCCAAGTTATTCATTATTTTGTGAACATTTTTGAAAATTCATGTGTTCACTTAAAATTTGTTATTAGCATTCTTATTAAATATTCAAGGTTGCAATTTGGCATATCAATAAACAAAGCTTGGGTCTTTAGAACGCCGCTAATACTATTGGATGTAAACACCTGTATAATATACAGGGTGTTTACCAGAAGCCTTATTAATTACCTTTCATTTTTGTTAAGCATATGGTATATCTAACAGATGTACTTTTTGAGATAATTAGACTGTTTCAAAAATGTTGGCATCAAAATGACAAAAGTTCTTTATATTTCCATTGTTGAATCTGGATTCTGCTATTAAATCCTCTTTGTCCACGACTACCTTATAATACATACCTTATGAATGAGTTTTCTAAAACAAAATGGTAGTCATTTTTCACGGAGTGAATAATAGCGGTGAATAATAATCATTATCCACGGGTAGCCATCTTGACCAGACTAATAATAATTATTTGAAACGTTAAAAGTTCAAAAAACGTCAATTTAATTATATTTTTTAGGAGTTTCTAAATGTTTGACATTAAAAAAACCTAAACAAATTCCTTTTTTCGTATGATTTAAGAATAAATTAATTAATTTTCCTAAAGAAAACGACGTTTTATAAAACTGACATTTAATTTTGACAAATTGTTGTGAAGTCGGTTACAGTTAGTAACATTGAATTTGTGTCACATTGACGTTTAACCTTTATTCAACAATTTATTTAAAAAATAAATTTATGGAATCAATTTCTATAGTCGTGGAAAAAGTATAGTATTCTACTCGCATATAATGAGCTATTATTCATTCAGGTTAATTGTAATAAAAAACTTAACCTTCGTGCATAATAACCCTCATTATATGCTCATATAATAATATACTATTCTTTAATGAACTCATAAGGCGTATGATATTATGTGTATTTCTTTCTAAACAAGTTGGCCTAATCCAACATTTACGAACTTTCTTTTTCTGTTTTTGCAAAATAATAATAACTGCAGCCACTGCTGCCTGTACATCATCATCGCACCACATTGCATTCAAACACTGAAAGATACGCTAACCTGATGTAGACGGAAAGTTTCTTGTTGCAGCGACAAGGTGATGAGCGACCAAAATAAGTTTTCTTGGTGTGAACAGAATGTTTCCGATTCATTTGTTATTGTTTCTGCTTCATAAACAGGTTACAACAATGAGAAACAATATGTTCCCCTGTGTTTCTTTGGTGTGGACATACATTCAGTGCCAGATTGTTGCATATTTTTCATTGAACTAAAAGTACAACTAACACTAAACCTAGAACTAAAAACATTCGGGTTTACCCGTCTTAAGAGACGCGTGGCTATTTTACTAACAATAAATTCTAACAAAGTCTCGAACCATTCATTTGATTATCTCAGATTATGGATATATTTCGCATATATTTTCATTAGCCGTATGTCTGAAGACGGACGGCTAAACCCGAATGTTTCTAATTCTCGGTCTAGTGTTAGTTCTGGTTTTATACTATCACTAGAACTATCACAAGACCTAGATCTAGAATCATTCGGGTTTAGCCGTCTTGAGAGACGTGCGGCTAAACCCAGATGTTTCTAGTTCTATGTCTAGTGTTAGTTCCAGTTTTAGTTCAAAGAAAAATATGGAACAATCTAACGCTGAATAACAACAAAAGCAAGAACTAACACTAGACCTAGCTAGTTAGCTAACACAATCACTTGGGTTAGATTGGGTTACACTAGACCTAGAACTACAAATATACGGATTTAGCCGAACGTCTCTTAAAACGGCTAAACCCGAATGTTTCTAGTTCTAGATCTAGTGTAACCCAACCCAACCTAAGTGATAGTGTTAGATCCGGGTTTAGCCGTCTTAAGAGACGTTCGGAGTGATCTAATACTAACACTATCACTAGAACCAACACTAGACCTAGGGTTTAGTATTGGTGCTAGTGATCTAACACTATCACTTGGGTTGGGTTGAGTTACACTAGACCTAGAATTAGAATCATTCGTGTTTAGGCGTACGTCTCTTAAGACGGCTAAACCCGAATGTTTCTAGTTCTAGGTCTAGTGTTGGTTCTAGTGATAGTGTTAGTATTAGATCACTCCGAACGTCTCTTAAGACGGCTAAACCCGAAACTGTCTAGTTCCATGTCTAGCATTAGTTTTACTTTTCGTTCAATGAATTATATCCGAATTCCGTTCTATCGAGATTTTACAGTATTTTTATTATTTATGGATATGTTTAATTGATGAAATAGTAGTCTATCTATGCGTGACGTCACGAACGGGCCTTCGAGTTGTAACGGGCTAAATAACAACTAAAAGTATAACTAACACTAGCACTAGAACTAACTCTAGACCCAGAACTAGAAACATTCGGGTTTCGAAACCGAAACTTTTAATGCCAAACCGTAATTTTTTTTATTATTTTTTCATTTCGACTAAGTTAGGTTGGCAGAACTGCACGGTGGATTAATTTCATTTATGATATGGTCTTTGAAGTTAATAAGAAACATTTTTATCTTAAACAAATTTTTTATTCTTGAATTATTAACGATTATTTATGTTAAAACATCAATTTTCAAAATTTATTGCTTTTTGACCAAATTAAGTTGGAACAACTCTTATGGAACATGTTTTCGCGTCAATGGGGAACGTTTTTTCCCAAACATTTTCTTCTATATCTTTTCATTGTGCAGTTATATTCAGTTTTCTTGTCAAATACGTCGATTTTGGAAATATTTTGCATTTTGAACAAGTTAGGTTGGTAGAACTAATCATTGGAGTAAAACGATGACAATGTTTCTAGAAACCAACAAAATTATGCACGGCTAAAGCCGAATGCTTCTAGTTCTCGGTCTAGCGTTAGTTCTAGTTTTATTTGTTATTCAGTGCTAAATTGTTGTATATTTGTCATTGAACTAAAATCGATATAATGAACTAATCCAGTGCAACTCGAAGGACCGTTCGTGACGTCACGCATAGATAAGCAACTACTATTTCATATTTTGAATTAGCAAATGTTTAATTTGTTAGTTCTAGTTTTAATTCAATAAAAGTATTCAATAAACCAACGCTTAATAATAACTAAAACTAGAACTAACACTAGCATTAAAACTAACACTAAACCTATAATTAGAAACATTTGGATTTAGCCGTGCGTCTTCAGAACTTTGTAGTTCTAGGTCCAGTGTTAGTTTTAGTTTCAAGTTAATTAACTAATTTATTTTTTTTTAGTAAAATGGGTTACAGCAGAAATTGCGCAACGTTTCGAACTTAAGAGACGTTCGGGCTAAACCCGAATATTTCTAGTTCTAGGTCTAGTGTAACCCAACCCAACCCAAGTAATAGTGTTAGATCACTAGCTAGGTCTGGTGTTAGTTCTTGTTTTTGTTGTTATTAAGCGTTAGATTGTTGCATATTTTTCTTTGAACTAAAACTAGAACTAACACTAGACCTAGAACTAGAAACATCCGGATTTAGCCGCACGTCTCTCAAGACGGCTAAACCCGAATGATTCTACGTCTAGGTCTTGTGATAGTTCTGGTGATAGTGCTAGTGTAAAACTAGAACTAACACTAGACCAAGAACTAGAAACATTTTTATTTGTTATTCAGTGCTAAATTGTTGTATATTTTAAAATCGGTATAATGAACTATTCCGTTACAACTCGAAGGCCCGTTCGTGACGTCACGCATAGATAAGCAACTACCATTTCATATTTTGAATTAGCAAATGCTTAATTTGTTAGTTCTAGTTTTAATTCAATAAAAGTATTCAATAAACTAACTCTGAATAACAACTAAAACTAGAACTAACACTAGCATTACAACTAACTTTCTAGTTTCTAGTTCTAGGTCCAGTGTTAGTTTTAGTTTTAATTTAATGAATTAATTTATTTTTTTAGTAAAATGGGTTACAGCAGAAATTGCGCAACGTTTCGAACGAGAATATTATTTAGTTATAGCCGGAAGAGAATTTATTTTCTACATAATCTTTTTATTTTGTGCCACAATGGGTAAGAAAAAAAAAGCTTTAACATAAAAACAATTTATTTGTTAATTTTTATTGTTTAAGTTGTTTTAGGAAAAGTTGATACAGACGCTTATTACATGACGGCAGCCATAAAAAAACAAATAACTGGGAATGAATTTTCAGTGGACGAATTCGAATATAAATTTTCGGAAATAAGAAGCCTCCATTTCTTTCACATCTACCTTGTTGAATATTTATCCGAACAACTATATTGGACAAGTTTCGATGTAAGAACCCGAATTCAATTGGATATAAGAAAAGATCGCGGGGTTTTGTATGTTAATAAATTAATCGGGCAACCCACTTTAAGACAAGTGGCGGTTATTAATGGCTCGTGCACCGTTCACAACCGATTTAAACGCCACCTATGGGATTGTAGGGAGGAATATAAAAATAGTGTTAGGCTTAAAAGTGGTGTTTTACCCGATTGTCAACTCCCCGGTGATGGGTAATTTTAAAATTAATTCTATATCTTCTTCTTTTTTATTTTTAATTTTAGTTGTATGTATACAAAAAGAAATATGGCAGTTGCTTACTCTGGTATTTTGGCGAATTACGCCTCTGATGGTTTTTTGATACCAATGGGCTTGGATCGCACCAATTTCATACAGATGGCGCGGAGATTAAGAAAGGATGGTTGGTACTCGTTAAATACTCGAGCACTTTTTTTAGATTTTATGCTTTACAACCCAAATTTGGATATATTTTGTGGGGTGAAATTAATCTTTGAAATCCCAGCCGTTGGAGGGGTCATCCCATCAGCAAAATTTTACACGTTTAATGGTTTACATTTGGACAGCGTATTTAATCATTTTGCATTTGGATGTTTTCTCGTTTACTTTGTATTTTTAATGTATTATTTAATGTCGGAATTTCGAGAAATCATGTATTTAAAATCGGAATATTTTACTTATGTTTGGACTTATGTTGATTATATGATGATTGGAGTAAGTATTTCAGATTTTTATATTCTTAAAAGACTTAAGGTGACAAACACAAACATTCTCGAAACTCAACCCGACACAGTACAGAAAGATACAGGAAGTATAGATCGAATTGCAAAGAGGAATTATAGTAATCGGACAAGGACGATAGAATCTAAGAGGACCTCTTTTAGATCCTAGCTGACTGGGCGTGGCCCATGGTGTGACGTAGTGTACAGGCTCCTTGTTAACAGTAGTGGACTGCAAAAGAACAAAGGATGTAGCAGTCCTCTTAGATTCTACCGTCCTTGGTAAACGGAAACAAATTCAATCTTTCTGCAAAGTTCAACGCTGAATACAAAATGGGCGCGAGAAGACCAAACCGATGATAATTGCTAAAGATGCTTAAATAACTACGTTTAACTATCTGGGAATGGAAATACCGAGTAACAAGCAGCTGATGGATGAAGTGAATAATCAGGCAAATAAGTCAGCAAGCATATTAGAGTGCCTCATATGACGCAACAAACAACTATACTCATCTATGCGCCGGAAGTACAGCAGAAGCATCCCACAAAAAAGCCATAATGAGGAATAAAGATTTTTTTTTATATTATGCATAGCACAATTGTATACCACCTAGTAAATACATACTAATTAGTTACTTATTTTTGACACAAAATTAATGACGATAATGTTTTGCAGCTTTTCCCTGTGATCCAGTCTGTTTTACACATACTTAACATAGATAAACATTGTCATATTTTTACCGTTTTAAGATCAAAACAAAAACGAGCGCACTGCTACACGCGGAACACACATTTAGGTTATTACTGTTTTTTTTATGGCATTCTCCTCTCATGTTTAGAATGATGCAATTTCTGATGAGACCGATGCTACTTCCAAGTTGCAATGGAGGTCGATGTTTCAGTGTATGTCCATTTTGCTTTTAATACTTGCTTGTATATTAACAACTTGTCTTTTAGTGATAACGTAGGTTTTCTGCCAATAAGCCAATATAGGTGTCTAAATTTGATACCATTTGAATTTGACATCCAGCGTTATACATACCAAGATATTTTGCGGATATTTTATGTCGGCGTAAGGGTCCAGTTTTCTATTGAATTTAAGGCCAATTGTAACTTATATGTATTATGTATGTATGTAGGAAAGGGGAGGGTATACATAGAGCACCTTGTACATCCTCCTGCACTCTCTCCGGCTACATCAACCAGCCTAAGGAATTTCCGAAGGCTAGGATACAGCTCAGAGGTGTGTTCCTGATGTCATCCATGCTCAGCCATTCCTCTCCGAAGTCTCTCATTCTGAGGTCTTGTAGAGTGGGACAGTCCCACAAGATGTGTCGAACCGTCTTCTCGCTCTCTTCACAGAGGCGGCAGAGAGGACTGACAGTAAGCTTAAGGTTATAAAGATGCTTATTTACCTTACAGTGACCCGTGACGAATCCCGTTACAGTTCGTACAGCGTTTCTACCAAGCCTTACGAAAGACATGCCTCTGCTGCGGGATAACGTAATACTTCCTTAGACAGATTGCAGCCCTTAACCCTATGCCACCAGTTCATAAACTTTTTGTGGGTAAAATCTTTAATTATCTCAATCTGAGTTGATAAAGACGGAGCGATTATCGGTTCAAGCAAATATGGCAGCCCTTTTGGCAAGCCTATCAGCGTGCTTGTTACCGGAACAAGTCGAGTGTCCTTTTGTCCATCGAAGTATAACACAGTTATGCACTGCGGCCTTCTCCAATGTCAGATGAGAACCCATAACAAGTCCTGTGGTAATTGTTATTCTACTCAGGGCTAAAATAGCTTGTCTGCGGTCAGTGTAAATTGTGAAAGTCTTACCTACCAAGTTGGATCTGACAATAACGTCAGCGGCGATTAACTCCGCCTGTATGACGGTGGTACTTTTACCTAGAGGTTCAGATACGTGCAGTCGGAGATCGTACGAGAAGACTCCGACTCCAACTCCTTCCCATCTACTTGAACCATCAGTGTAAAGTAGATTTTAAGGCTATTTTTCTTCTTCTTCAAGTTTGTACTTTATTAAGTGCAGCAGTGGATGTAAGGTCTTTCACCACCATACTTGCACCATATGTAAGTATAGCTCGGATTACAGCCGTATAAATCCAGAGGGCATTTTTGGGTGACAAACCCCATGTCTTATGTATAGCCCTCCGGGATTGACCGAATGCAACGTACGCTTTTTTTACTCTATTATCTAGGTGGGCTCTCCATGTCATTTTATTGTCAAGTGTGATGCCCAGATATTTGACTTTTTTTGACAACACCAATGGAGTATTAGCAAGGGATGGCATTCTGGGCTTGCCAAAGTTCCTCATCCTGGTTTAGTTGAAAGACAGAAATCTCTAATGTAGCGATCACAGAGTCTTTCCAGAGTTTTCAAAAGAGAGGAGGAGAGACTGATTGGTCTAAATGATTTCGGTGTGAAATAATCAAGCTTACCCGGTTTTGGTACGATTATATGTATATGTAATTTAAATCATCTAACCAGACTTTGTCGAAAGCTTGTGCAACATCCAAAAATACGGCGGAGCAGACTTTATTTTCTTCCATTGCTATTTCGATAGTATTCGTTATTTTATGCACTTGGTCTATTGTTACATGTTTATTCCGAAATTTATTGATGTGTTGGTATTAGGGCTTTTCTTCTATGACAGGTTTTAGTCTCTTTAATAGTAATTTTTGAAGTAGTTTTGGTACTAAGGGTGATAATGAGATTGACCTATATGATGTAACATCTGTGGGGTAAGATGGGGGTAACATCTGTATAAGAAATTAAGTTCAAACCGGCCACAAACCCATATGTTACGAGATTAAACAATCCTATATATCCACCAAAACATCGGACGTCTCTATTTGAAAGAAGCTTCATCTATCACATTTACAAATCTTATGGGAAATTGCCAAATCTCTGAGCTTAGATACATTCAGGAAGAGTTTGATGCGGCTGAGGTTTCAGCAGCAAGGGGGAGAATAATATCTCATGCTCGGATATTTACCGTTGGCATGTTGGGATTTGTGAAGGCAGTATGATTTTTTTTTGCTTTAGTTGATTAAGTATTTTATAATTCATTTTATATGTTTTTTTCTTTTATTTTCTTTCTCGTGTTTTCTTTTTTGTATTTTTTTGCAACCAATTGGGTTGGTATGAACCCGCCCATTGTGGTCCTTCTTTAATTTAATATTATGAAATAGAAATATGTAGTGTTATTTGTAGTTGTGGAAGGCACAATAAAGATATATTATTATTTACTGTCAACCTTCTTATCGATTAATGTACTTACAATTTTTCTGCAGTTTCACCACTCGCTTTTTCGGCATATCAGACGCCTGGCTTTCTTTTATTTGAACATACAGTTTTCTTATTCCTGATGGCATCATGGGTAGTTCATTGGATGCTTTTCCTCACAGTTGAAACATTTAGCCGGGATTTCTTTAGCTTTAATGCATTCGCTGGTCCAGTGTTCACCAGCGCATTTAACATATCTCAGATTTTTATGGCAGTAAGCTTTGGTGTGTTTTGGCTTTCTGTACTATTCGATTTTGACACGCATTTCAAATATGTTTGTTATTTCATGGATTCTTTTTACATCTTCTGACGGTGCAAAATCCAAGANTCATATTTACAAATCTTATAGTAAATTGCCAAATGACATGCGAACTCTGAGCTTAGATACATTCAGGAATAGTTTGATGCGGCTGAGGTTTCAGGGAAAGAATAATATCTGATGCTGGGATATTTACCGTTGGCATGTTGGGATTTGTGAAGGCAGTATGATTTTTTTTTGCTTTAGTTGATTAAGTATTTTATAATTCATTTTATATGTTTTTTTCTTTTATTTTCGTTCTCGTGTTTTCTTTTTTGTTTAATTTTTTGTTCTTTCTTGCAACCAATTGGGTTGGTATGAGCAGACATCGTTTGGAACCCGCGCATTGTGTTCCTTCTTTAATTTAATATTATGAAATAGAAATATGTAGTATGTTATTTGTAGTTGTGGAAGGCACAATAAAGATATATTATTATTATTTACTGTCAGCCTTCTTATTGATTAATGTACTTACAGTTTTCTCTGCAGTTTCACCACTCGCTTTTTCGGCATACCAAACGCCTGGCTTTCTTTTATTTGAATATACTGTTTTCTTATTCCTGATGGCATCCTCGGTAGTTCGCTGGATGCTTTTCCCCACAGTTGAAATATTTAGCGGGGATATCTTTGGCTTTAATGCATTCGCTGGTCCAGTGTTCAATAGCGCATTTAACACATCTCAGATTTTTATGGCAGTAAGCTTTGGTGTGGCTCCAACCTGACACCTTTTGCACTGGGGCTTTTGTTTTGGCTTTCTGTACTATTCGATTTTGACACGCATTTCAAATATGTTTGTTATTTCATGGATTCTTTTTACATCTTCTGACGGTGCAAAATCCAAGATGTATAAAGGAAGAGGCTCATTTGTTTTGTATTTTAACATTTGGGTTACTTTACGAATGTTGTAATTGCGCTCTAATAGTTCATCTTTGATATCATTAACAGCTTTTATGCATCTTTTTAGCTACCACTTTCAGATTTCTGGTTTGCTTATTTTCATAAGTGGACCAGGACAAATTCTTTTCGTTTTACAAATTACAAATTCGTTTTACTGTGGTTTATAAAATAATACTTAAGTAATTTATAAATGTCATAATATTGTTTGACATTATAAATTAATATTGTTGGGCGTAGTAATAGTTGCTTTTCAGGTTTGCTTTCAACTTCCAAATACAGTTTAGATAGCGAGATTTTAGAAGAAGAAAAACAAATTTTATTCTGTACCCACTACATAAAAAAAAATAAGAATAACAATAAAAAATATCTATATGTATATACAACAAAAATAAAAAAGTTAAGGGGTGAGAATAGGGCTACCGACCAAGGTCTTTTTGCCCGTGATTTTTGTAGTGGGCGGCTTGTTTCAGTCTTCTCTGACGGCCAGGAGTTTTTGGAAGAGAAGAGGTGGGTTGTTGCGAGGGTGGAGTAATCGAGGCGATATAAGCGTGTGTTGCAAGGCGTTGGTAGGAAAATTTAGAATGGATTTATCGGACAAAGATTGAAGACGGGTATGAATCCCCTATTCATATCGTATATCGGTAAGTTGGTATAGCAGATCATTGCTAGGGTTAAAGAGGGGATTACGGGGGTTCCTAATTCGGGTGATGGATCTCAGTGCAGATCTTTCCGCTACTTCCAGGTGGTACTTCGTTCTTCTTGGTGCGTTGCTTAGCAGTATTGATCCATATTCTATGATGGGCCTGCATATGGTCTTGTAGATGTGCGAGGCACATGAGGTAGAGATTCCGCGACCGCTGAACGAGAGAGATTTAAAGTGTTTGGCGCGTGTCTTTACTTTCATCTTCACCTTGGTTGCATGAGTGGAAAACTTAAGCGTTCTGTCAAGTATTATGCCAAGATACTTGCAGGTTGGTGAGACGGAGATTGCCGTTGATTGGATTGTAATTGTGGGAGAGGGAGCGCGGGGTGAGAGGAATGGGACAAAAAATTGTGTTTTTGTGGGATTGAGTAGGATGCGCCATTTTCGGTACCAATTTTCCGTTTCGTTTATGAGCGTCTGCAGCTTACGGACCGAGGAAGTGATATCCCTACTGTGCGAGACCAATGCTGTGTCGTCGGCGTAAAG